GATACGCATGGGGAAAGATATTTTTAAACTCCCTGTAGGACTCTGTATTTGCAGATACCTTATCAGAAAGTTGAAAGCGATTAGGGATGGGGAATTATCTCTAAATTTATACTTGAGAATGTAAATTACATACAAACTAATGGGACTAAAACTATTTGATCTTTTAATATTTAATTAATGGTTCCCCATGGCCTTTTTATAGCCTGTGTTCTCTTGTGAGGAACGAGACTTTAATAAGCAGGTTTGGGACTTCCCATTGTGTAGCAAGATGTCATTGCTTTCATGACACTAATTTGGCTTTCATACTCTCTCCTTTCCCCTCTTCTCTTACTATAGGGTTCCCTATGTCTTGCTCTTGCATTGGGAACAACTAAATAAATATATTAGTTGTATTGTTATTTTATGAGCTGCTTTCTGGTCTAGAAATTACATATCTCACTGGGCAAAAGATTTATCAACTCCCCTCCTTACACTGAAATCCCTTGAAGAGTGTAATAAAGTTGATATTTCTTCTGAGGACAGACACTTAACAATAATAAAATAAGAGGCGTTTCCTTTATTTTCAAGGAGAGACAGATTTGCCCTGAACTTTACAAATCACATCCAATTTAGAGCAGTTTTTCTTCCGTTATGTGTTTACCACAAAGTGATTTCTATCTGGGCATGATGACACTCACAAGAACGATCTTCCTGTGTCTGAGTCCCTGGAAGCATTCCTTTCTATACTGCCCCCACCTCTTACTGTCTAGTTACGGAGTCCAGTGCATGGGGAACTATTACCAGCAGATGTGAGTATTGTTTGTGTGACAACTGGCTCCTGGCTAGTCTAGCTTAAGGAAATGTAAGGAAACGCATGTCTTTGTTTTGACCGAAGATGTTTGGTGCTGAGCTATTAGAAAAGATGCTGCCGGCTCTGCTGTATAGTGACTTGTAAATAAGGATTCTCCCTGATGATTTTTCTTAAAATTTAGCATTAGAAATATATGTATATTGGATGATGAGTGCTTATTATTCCATCATACTTTCCTATTAGTCTTAGGAGTCTTTGAGCTAATTATTCTGTTACAGAACCAGGTTGGATCGCTGGCGGAAAAACCAGGCAGTACCTGAGGATCTTGGTGGATCGGAGTTTTGTTTTACACTAGCAGGCTCTCCTTCTCCACAGATCTGAGTCCCGAGCACAAGCATGGGGGACAATTTATCATCTGTTACTTCTGCAGTCTGCATTAGTAGCAATTAGGCGTGCAGGGCAAACAGGACAGGAAAGAAGAGCCTGGAAGAGGAGTCTCTAAGCTAGGAACTGGAGCTTCTGTTAGTCCTGTCAGCCATCTTATGGTGCATAACTTTACTTATTTTCCCAACAGTTCCATTGCAGTAACCATTTGACCTGTAAATCATGGTACGGCTATTTTCCTTCCATTTAATATTAATAATAAGAATGAAAATTCAGTGTTCCCAAATATTTTTGGCATTTCCTAACAGCTCTGTTATAGTTAATATTGTCCTATCCACCTTCCACCTAGAAAATGAATAAACTGATATCTGGAATGATGAGGACATAGTATGGGTCACACAGTGGGCAGAAAGGCTGAGATCTAAACATTGCCCCAGATGCAAGTCCGAGTGTTCACACATTATTTAATTTTCTACACTAAATGGCTGAAGTTAATTTAGTTCAGTAGCCAATGATGACAAATAGAAGGGTGTAAATAAAATACTCTAACAGGATACAATGATTAACTGTTCTGTAAAGGCATGACCACTGTTACTGCTGAAGATAGGAACACCATGCTCAGTGAGGACATTGACAGAACTCTGGAGACTTCCCAAATGTTCTATAAAAAAAAACATACTTCTGGGGCACATGGGTGGCTCATTGGTTAAGCGTCTGACTCTTGATTTCAGCTCAGGTCAAGATCTCACGGTTCATGAGAGCAAGCCCCACATCGGGCTCTGCACTGACAGTAGGGAGCCTGCTTAGGATCCTCTGTGTCCCTCTCTCTCTGCCCCTCCCCTGCTCACGCTCTCTCTCCTTCTCTACTCTTCCTCAAAAGAAATAAACTTAAAACACACACACACACACACACACACACACACACACACACACACTCTTTTGTTTAATGTTTAACTTTTGAAAAGGTATAGAGTGAAACACCACCATCCACTGCCCCATCAAGTTCCTTCCTGACTGCAGGGGACCACCATTAACACATTTTAGGTATCCTTCTAGAGTTGCTTTAGTATATTCAAGCACATGAAAATTTTTATTCTTATCCCTTCTCCACTTTTTTATACAAAAATGTGGCTTATTTACCCTTCTGAATGCTTTTTTTCTTTCACTTAATACGTTTTGAAAATTTTCTGTATGATCCCAGAATGCCTCTTTTTTTTTATTTGCATATGCATCATATTCCATTGAATGGCTCTGTCCTATAATGTATCTAACAAGTCCCCTGTTGACAGATATTTGCATTGTTTCCAAAATTTTGCTGTCCACAAACAAGGCTGCAAAGAACACTGGATATACAGCTGTTATTTTGCACAAATGCAAGAACATCCATAGTATAACTTCACAGAAGTGCAATGTGTCGATCAAAGAATAGATCATTTCGATATATTTTTTCCAATTGCTTTCCATAGGGAAGACAAGTAAGGTTTTGAAAAATTCTACAGTTTTATATTCATCTTCACATGTTTTGGCAAAGTGCCTGGTGTAAAAGCATTCAACAACATGCTTATTTTAGGACTGTTTCATTATTCTCCAATTTCCCTTACAGTCTTTTTTTCTTCTTCTGAAAAGTCTTAGTTTCACTACTGAGTTATATTAGCTGAGGAAGAAATCATGTAAGTATAAGAGAGACAGGAAAAATCACCTGATGAGTCGTCAAAGAAAGTATGACTTTGAGCACTGGGCCTGGGGCAGTCAGGCTGCATTGTGGGAAGAACGGCATGGGGGATGGGAGCACTGTCTTGGGATCATAGGGAATTTCCCTCCAGCATTATTTGGTCCTGCCAGTAGGGTCACTGGGACCAGTGATGCTGGTGCAGTCTTCTTTGTCAGTGGGTGTTCAAGGCATGCTTGATTAATGCTCCAGAATTCACTGATTTTGTGACTCACAGCTTCCAGCAGGCACGGTCTGCCTTGTTCGCTTTCTGACAATGGTGAACCAGCAGCAGAGGAGTCAGAAATCATTCAGTCCACTGGCTGACTGTTCAATTCAACAGGAAATGTGTTAAAATGAGAAAATCAGAATGTCTCGGTGTAAGGGCTGTGATCTTATTTTCTTAAAGACTTCCAGGAGGCTTTCATCATCAGCTTGGCTCAGAAAGCTTTGGTTCTGTCGCCTCAGTTGTCTTTATAGATAAGGAAATGGAGGCCAAGAAAACTCAAATAATTGGCTAGAGGTTACAGAACTCATTTATGACAGATATGGAATAGGATCCGCGGTCACTCGACTCTGTTCAGTGGACATTTCCTGGATGACTTGGGCTGTGCTGAGTGAATCGTGGGGGAGGGGTAGAGCTCTGCATCATTTTCTACCACTTTATCTGAAGCAGCGTCATTCTTTTCCTGTTTTTCCTATATGGATTCTCATAAGGTTTTTTTTGTTTGCTTTTTTTGACCAATGGACTTTGTAGCCAAAATGTTTCACAGTGTTTTATCATACACTGAGAAAGCAAGCAAACCCAAATCCTACCACCACCCTAGCTCTGAGAGGAAAAGACATTTGAACAGATCCTAGGCCAGGCTAGTGTCCCTGTTTCCTTTTGTGAGAGAACAGTCTCAGGCTGGGAGGATTAGGACTGTTAATATTTAGAGAAGATTAGGTGGTTAGTATTAAAGCCCTATTATATAGAGAATATTCAAGAACTGAGAACCTACTTGTCAGTAGCTCAGGGCTGGGATGAGGCCAGAACTACATTTGTAGGTGGAGCGATGGAATGTTTGTTTTCTCGTCTTGTCTCCACCCCTTCTTAGCTGAGTGAACTTGACAGGTTGCTTCCCCACACTAGCCCATTTCCACACCTATAAAAAAGCCGAGATAATTCCTGGGCTCAGTGGTTCTCAACGTTTGCTACACATTGGAGTCACCTGGGATGCCTGCAAAACTCCTGAGGTACTGATATGTGGGTCCCATGTGGCAGATAGCCACTGAGTATCTTCTATAATGGCTCTGGTATGCAGCCTGGGCACTAGGAGTTTTAAAGGCTCTCCTCATAATTTGATATGTAGCCAAGATTGAGAATAACTGTCTAGAGAACAGTAGTTCTCAGTGCAGTACTGCATCAACAGCATCACCTGGGAACCTGTTGGAAATGCAAGTTCTCAGGCCCACTTCAGACCTCCTAAATCATAAACTCTGGGAACAGAGCCCATAAATCTGTGTTTTTGATTCTGATGTGTACTGAAGTTTAGGAATCACTGAGATAGAGGTCTATGAATATCTTATCATGAAAAGGGTTAATCAAATTTTAAGCTAGAGGTAGGCCCATAAGTAGAAGCACCTGTTTGGAGAAGGGTGAAGAAAGCAAGGTAAGGAGACAAAAAAGTTAATTTCCCAGAATCATCTAAAATTATGGTCAGAATATTAGAAAAAGATTTCTCTTAGGTATTTTATTGCCAGGTGCTCTTTGAAGAGAGAAAGATTTGATTTTAAAAATGTACATATTTCTAAATCCTTTGAACTTTCTGATAAACATGTTTGTTTGGGAAAACTGGCCTTCTGAAAATGGGTGTCTTCCTTTCTGTGAGAAGGTATGAGTAAGATCATGGAAGACAGGACTTGGATTACTTTGGTCCCACCTAAGGAGAACAGCTTAGTAAATACCAGAGTTCAAGACTAAGCTCTCCGGCATGCTATGCCTAGAGGAAACAGACAAATGCGAGAACTATCTTTCCCATCAGCTTTTTGGAGAAGGCTATGGGTTATACTCATTAATCATAAGCACAAAGAGGGCTCAGTTTTCTCTAAACTAGATATTTTCTTTTTCCCACTCAGCCAGGGGCCATTGAGACTGCCATGGAAGACTTGAAAGGCCACATGGCGAAGACTCCTGGAGAGACAATTCAAGGCTTCTGGCTCTTGACAGAGTGAGTAGTTATGGCTAAGTGAGGGGCCATGGGAATCTAGCATTTTCCTTGACACCACTGTCACAGATTGGGAGATAGATCTATGGCAGAATTTCTTCTGGATGCCATGCAAAATAATTGGTTGGCATTACCCCCAGTTAGCGAGTCAAGTTTTGTGGTGCCCTATGGCTGACATATGACTAGGGTTGACTCCTACAACAATTTTCTGGGTATAGTCAGCTATCACTATGACTCCTTAGGTCTTCATAGCTCTCAAGGACTGTTGCACTGGACTCTTCTCTCTGATCTCTTTGGTTCGAGTCTCTTACAACTACTCTCATTCTAGCTACATGAGGCTACTAACCATCCCACTCTGGGTACAGTGGAAAGGAAGGTTAGAAAAGACAAATGAGGTCAGTATATACAGTTTGAATTTTATTTTATGTACAATAACATGAGCTGTACATAACATCCCTACAAAATCATGCGGGATAGAAAAGACAAGCCACCAGTCCAGAGTTAGGTTAAAAACCGAGTGTAACACTTGAGACTTTATTCCTTCCAGAAGTTCTCCATTCATCCCTGAGGCTTATCTTAGCTCTAAGGGCTTTCATTGAAAATGACACCATGAAGATAGTTACCTTGTGTCTTGCCCCGAAATTCTAGTGTCTATGACTTTTTCTCCACCCACCAGTAGAATATCAGGAATGCCATGGTCTTTACAATAATAAGTAACGTATTCACATAATAAGAGAAAGAGGCGCCTCTTTTCTGCTACAGAATACATAACACTAAATGGAGAATATAGTGAGAACTCCATTTTGGATACTCACTAAGTTTTCTGTCTCCAAAGGCTCTAGGAGAAAAGCTCAATAATTCCTATACCTTGAGTAAAGAAGCATTTAATCTTTCACTCCTGGGCCGGACATTTTCTTTGACTAAGTTTTGGGAGGGTAGGGTTGGTACAGGCAACACTTGAATGTCCAGTCTTCTAGGCCAGCAGAACAAAATCTCTCCGTCAATGGAGTATAGAACCAGGTCACCTGTGGATCCATCTGCCTGATGGCCATGTTACATTCTTGTTTCAAATGGGTTCTAAGAATTGAGTGAAAATGAAATTAGAAAGACAACCTGACCATGTCTAAGCATTTGTTTCTTCATGTATAAACTGGAGATAGTGATAAGTACCTGAGGAGTTGTTACGAGGGCTAAATGAGACAGCATGGTAAAACTCTTAGCAAAGTCCCCAGCACATGGTGGATTTTTATCAGACATCAGTGTCCCTCCTCTGTTCACAAGTTATGTCTATTGGTAAAGGCCTTTTGTTTGTGTTTGTTTGGTAGCCTCTGCCTTTATTTTTGTCCTATCCATCTCTGTATCTTTCATCTCTGGGTTATCTCTATGAAAAAAAAAAGTGTATAATTGAGGCTTTTTGCTTATTCACTTTTACCAACCCTTTTCCAACGCCACCTGCCATCTGCAAAGTAAAATTTGACTTGTGCAAATAAAAAAGTCTGCCTTGATTAGGACAGATGTCTCCTTGAATTCTGAAGGTCTAATCAGAAGTAGATACTTAACCTGTTTTGTTCCTACAGTACATTTCATTTATAAGAAAGAATGCCCAAATATGGTCTTTCAAAATCCAGTAGTAGCTTTTTGAATTCTCAAATAATAGAATCAGCAGGTTTTTTATTTTTTTTTTTTAATAGTACATGCTTTAATTGCTTGGTCTTTTTTGTATAGAAATGTGTCTTATTTTTGTTTGGAATGTTTTTGTTTCATGATTATAAAGGCCTTTAGATATCAGTTTGTCCCAAGATAAATCAGACTGTGTGATCTGTATTAAGACTTAGCACCATAATTCTGTCAGTTTGATTTATCGTCAACTGGGATGATTGATAAAACCAGCAGTTTTCAGTTAAATCTGAACAGGTGTGCCCCAGGACCCAAGTTTTTCATCTAGCTCTGAACCTAATAGGAAGCTCAAAGGGTTGGTGAAGACTATCTGGCATCTAGTTTTCTATGTCTCTTTTGCTTTGTGGTATATACATTTATATTACAGACAGTAATGAGGGATGTATCATGTGTGTGTGGAATTTTAAGCAATAATTTTCATTTGCTGTCAGACTTTTCTTCCTTTGCACTTTGGAACCATTTCTTCTCTTTCAACGGTAGTTCTTTTGTGTTCTTTTTGGTCTTCCTCTCTGCCAAAATCCTTTTATACCTCTTCCTACTCTCCATCTAAAGCTACTTTTAAGAAAGATTTGAATCCAGTCATTTCTACCATAGTAAGAATTTGCCAGCTGCTTTTCTTTTCCTGTTAAACCTTAAAGCTGGTTCAGACTGTCTTCTTGTAGTGGAAAAAGCTGCCAGTTGCAAAGAAGATGGTCCAGGCATCTGGGCTAAATAAATAGGCTCCCAGTCACTGTGACTGTTCAAGAAGAAGATTGGAGGCATTTGTCAAAGGAAGGGCATGCATGGAGGTTTTGAATGACCTTTCACACTTAAGTCTTTGTTTGTAGTGCACCAATGTAGGAAAGGCAAAAGCAACGATCAAAGCAATCAATATCAGCACGAAATCCCCAAAATAACAACAGCAAAACAGAACAAAAGAAAGAACTAAATAAACCAATAAACATATAGGCCCAGAGAAGTACGAGCCTGGGGCTATGCTTTTCCCTTTCTCTTTTTTTCTAATGGGATAAGACCCATCCATCCATTCAGTTCTTATGAGTTACAGAGGCTGTACTATAGACCAGCTTCCCCAACTGTGCCAACCATACATAACTCTTTTCAAGTGTAACACTTTTTTGTGTGTGTGACAGCAATGACTGGGCTTTATGCACATCAATGGTTAGCTCCTTTTATGGAGATGAGAAACCCCTAGTTACTCATCCAACAGTTGAAAGAATGTTTGCTTTCAAACAAGTATTCCAGTTTCAGAATGATAAGAGTGAAAAACCCTTCCAATGATATATATATAGCACATTAAAAAATAACTTTATGACCATGAACTTGCTTTATGTTCACTACAACCTTGCTGGTTTTGTGATTGTCATGTGACAGATGAGAAATGGAGATGTGGGACGAGGAAGTGGACAGCTGAGATCACATAAGGGGTAAAGCAAGGAAGGCAGACTGCTCTCCTATACTAGCTCGGTTCCAGTTCTTTCCCAAAGGGTGTAAGGTATAGGTGTGGGGTCACTCATCACAGCTTAACCTTTAGTCATGGTTGGTCAGAGCCCCAGAAATGGTTTGATATAGGAGTGTGATGTGGGGAGTATCGTGAGCTTAAGGGCCTTGTGTATCTTATTTAAGAACTTAGATTCTACCCTGTAGGCGATGGGGAGGCACTGATTGGTGAGAAAGTGTGACTATATTTCAATTTAAAAAGATCACTGAAGGCTCACAATCCCTTATCTAAAACCCCTGGAATCTGATATGAATCAGATTGAGAATTTTTCAGATTTTAGAAAGGTAAAACAATACATATGCATTTTATGCTCCAAGTGGAGGCTTGCGACAGCCCCCCATAATCAAACACACTAAAATTTTTGCAGGAAAACCTGTCATATTCAACATAGAATAGATGACCGCATGTTGGTTCAGATCTGGTTTTACCATAAAGTGCGTCTGAGCCACAGCTGCGCCATTTTCAGGGCTTTATTGAATTTGGAATTTTGGATGAGGGTGTATGGCCTGTACATGTTTGAAATGTGAAGGATCAATGGATGGCTGGAAGGCTGGCTGCCACACTAGATACTTGTGCAATATCAGCGAGGGTCTGATCCAGTGGCGTGCTGGAGCTGGTTCACACTGGCTTATGAGAAGTCAGCATTACAATTTCAGGAATTTTGAGAGTTGGTTGTTAATTATTAAAACATAAAATGTCACACCAAGTGAATTAAACTTAAAGGTGATGTAGTCAAAACTCCTTACTTTCTGATTTTTTTTTTTTTTTTACTTTGTTTTGCTGTTGATTTGCTATTGGGGTGATTTATGCCTATTATGTTTGCGTAGTGGAAATACTACATGATAACTTGCTACTGTACCTCTTTTCTCCGCTACACATTCAGTGGTGTCATGTACATGGCTTGGAATTGACCCTGGGGGCAGTGATTCCATCATGGAAGTCAGCAAACACTAGATATCAGAGTTCAATTTATTGCTTTGTTGATTGTCTAAACTTTAGAAAGCAACAGGGAATATGTTAACAATGCAGAATAAACTTCCAGGTATGCCATGTCTGTGGCTGTGATATTGTAAATACATAGAAAAAAACTTGAGGAAATATAGTTCCAACATTTAAAAACTATTGTCCAGTTCCACAAAAGTCACCTTCTTTATTGAAGAGTAGGTTTAACTCTGGACAGACAGCTGAGGGAAGCGTCATGCCAAGCAGAGGCTGCTGAGGGTCTGTATTCTGTATTCTGGCTAGGGCAGAAGACATTGGGGTTCTCACACCTACACTGCTGACCCCCAGCCCAAGCTGGAAATTATAAAAAGCCCCTTCTTTCTGTTACAACCCTCTTGTGCTCTTTTCTGCAAAAACATAACATGGTGCACACTTGACAGAAAAATGCATGACAGAATTCTGTTGTTAATCATAGAGCATATACTGAAGGGTGCATATGGGACTGAGAGGCAAACTAATAATTGACAGAGCAAGGCTTTGTGGATCTCTCTGTTTAATTGTCTGTGAGGCAGGAGTTCAGGCCAATTCTTGGGCTTTGGCCTGGGAAACTGATGGGTTCCCTGTGTTGCCATTCCAGGCTTAGAAGAAAACGATAACTCTACTTTATTGAGAAACCGCCATATGCCAAACAATGCAGAAGAAACTTTGTGCCTGCAGTGTTATTTAATATCCCAACAATCTTGTCATTCCCTTCTTATAGAACTTGCTGAGTACAGTTTTGGGGAAAAAAATGTGTCTGAGGTGTCCATAGGACATCCACATGGAGATGTTGAATGGGTGGATTTACATATGCATCCAGATACTGTCTTAAGTAGTATGTTCAAAA